ATCCATCATGGTGGCTGGGCCTGCAGAGGTGTGCGGCTCTGGCCTTTGTGACACTGGTCTTATGTCACAAACCACATGGCCGCTGGCTCGTGATGTTCACGAGGCTTGTGCCCATGGCAGTGCTTGGGCCCCTCAAGTGCCAAGGTGGTGCAAAGCACAACGTGTTATAAAAACCACGGAGGTGGAACACAGCACAGGCAGTATCCTTAACATTTCCCTAGCTTCTCTGCCTCACCGCCACAGAGGGAAGAAAAAGGAACACAAACCTGAAAGACCACCTGGGCTGGTTCCCCCCACAACCTGGATGTGAAGAAGCTGAGCAGATTGGACTTCCAGGGGGAGTAGGCAATGGTTTGGACAAGTGTCTGGACCAGATTCCCAGCATGCTCCTCGCTCTGCTTCCCTCCACCGCACCCCACCTCCCCCCACCACACACATTTCTGAGAGGGCTTCGTTTTCCTCCCTGCTTGGGGATGAATGGGCAATGTAGGAATTAAAAGGCCTCACCACAAGGCTTGGACACCTGGGTCTTCCAAGCTGGGGGCTTGGAACTACGCTCCTCCCCTCCTCCACTGCTCGTGGACTGCGTGTCATATGTAATTTACCCTTAAATTGTCAGGGGTTGGGGAGGAGAAAGAAAATTATGTAATAAGTTAACAGTAGTTGAATCTAAATCAGGGGTATGAGGATTTATTACATCATTTTATTTTTGTAATTTTTGGAAACTTGAAATATACAAACAAAAATCTACTGAGCCCATTCCTTTCATTCCATTTTCTCCTAAACTCACTCTGTCCCAATAGTCTTCCAGAAATGTGTCAAGGTTATCAGTTACATCCAGTGCAAACTTTGGTGCTCAGTTCTGAGTCTTTCACATTTCCTTACTTGAGGGCCTGACACAATTTGTCATTCCCTCCTTGAAATGTGTGTATACCTTTTGACTTTTGGACACACTCTTTGTAGGTTCTTTCTTTACCTTCCCGGGTATCCCTTCTGTGTTTCATTGGCAGGTCATCTCTTCCAGTTGTTGGAGCATTCCCGGGCTTAGTCCTCAAAACCAACTGTTTAGAGATTTCCAGGTGCTGTCAGGATCATTTCCCTATTTCAGTGTAGTGTCTTCATTTGCTTACCTTAGTTTAGCATGTCATATTCTCCCAGGGATGTAAGAACCTCTTCCTTTTTAAAGTCCCATCCAAGATCAGCTAGCTGCCCATTACCTGTAACCTAACCCAGAGCAGTTGGTGGTTATACACCTTAGGGACAGTCCCACGTTCAACAGAGCACGTATGCTGGGAGATGGAGAGAAGGATGGAAACCCTAACATCTTGAAGACAGCTATGAACTGTTAACTCCCACTCCAAAAGTTAGAAAATGGGCCCCCAAAGGGAAAGATATTTGTTGAAGAACATTCAGCCTACTGTTGGGCATGTCTAAGATAAAGTGCAGGTGTCTGTGCTCTTTTGTTGATAGGCAATTTAATGTGTTTTGTCAAAAAAAGAATCTGATGAAAAATACGGACTTTTTCCCAGGGGGAGAAGAAAGTACTTATTACATAATATTAACTTGATTCAATTTCAAGAGCTCCATGACCCTCAAAGTCTGTATAGACTTTAGACAAAATGTTTCTCTATCAGAAAAAATCCAAAACAGAGAAATCTATAGTTTATTATAATACACCACTTTTGTGATTGAACTGTTTCATAATCAAGAGAAAATGCAATTGCTGTCTATAATTTTGACCAATATATAAGGATAGTGGATTATCATAGAAAGTATCAAATTTCTGAGGGTCCCTGATTTCTGTTAATTTCCTGTCTTTGGGACTATAACAGTAAAATATTCCAGCAGGTTTTGTTTTTACAAGAGAACCCACTGATATTTCAACCCAAGACTGGCTCTTAGGATAGAAAGGAAACAATGCAATAAAAGGACATTATTTGGCTAGCTGACAAAAAGTAGAATATGGAAAGTCCTGCATGAATCAGGAAATATTCCTTTTCTGAGCTATGTATGTCATCTATTATTTCATTTTATATGTCATCAAGTTTATCTCATATGTTGTCAAATTTATGGGCATGAGGGTTTCATAGTAGGGGTCATTGCTATGGTCCAGTAGACCAATCCTCCACTTTCAAGTGCTGACATCCCATATGGGCACAAGTCCATGTCCAGTCTGCTCCCCTTCAATTTTTTTAAATTTTATTTTTCATGATGTTTACATAGTTGATCAAGGTGGGAAGTGTCAAGATTAAAAGAAAGTGGGTGAGATCATTGTTTCCACATTTCTTGTTTGTCTTTCTATATCTGGGAGAAGGGAGAAATAAGGTTAGTAGCCACACCCAGCCTCCCAACCAACTCTGTGCCCTGGGATGGGGGATGATCACCCGATGCTATCCCAGGGTCCCCAATGTGGGGCATTCTTCGAGGGTGTGGTCAAGTGGTTTTGATAGTTTAATAGTTCTGAAATGCTGTTGATCTCACCACTCCAAGCACGATGAAATTCCTCCATGATCCACTGGCTGACATAGTCCACCTCAGAGTCTCCATTTGCCCATATATTCACTGCCAACTCTTGGCTGGGGTAGTTGATCAATTTGTTCTGTCCTCTGCCCACTGTTATGGTACCAGGTGTCCTCTGCAGGATCAAATGGACTGCCACATCCTCCATGTGCATCTGAATATGTCATCCACTACTCCATCTAAAGTCAATGAGGAAGCCCAGCTCTGACACATGCATTCTGCGGTGGGTACCATAACCTGGCGTGGTATGGGCTGCTTCCCCATCTTGGTTCTTGCACTTACCTGCAGGGACTGCAGCCTGATAGAGGAGTTCCTCAGGCTCCTCCATCAGAATCTCTCCCAATGCCAGATCTCATGGCCTAGCCTGTCTTAGTCCACCTCCTGTCCTAGCAGGAATAGTGGCCTTTCCTGACTGGCTCTCACCCATTCTGGTTCTTACTGATGGGAGCTACAGCCTAGCCAAGTCTGGTCCACACCCAGACACAGCTTACACATGGCTCAGTTGGGGCAGAGACTTAGCCCAACCTGTCCTACACCTACCTGGTCCTCACAATCACCAGTGGGTGCTGGAAACTAGCCCAGTCTGGCACACCCCAGATCCAGTCCACACCTATGCCAAAGGACATTTCAGTTATGTCCAGACCAGATCCAGCCCTCGCACTCACCAGTGGAAACCACCACCCATCCAAGGTGTCCCCTTAGCTCCCCAACCAGGCCTGATCCCAGTCACAGATCTTGTACATGCTAGTGGTTGCTCTGACCCAGCCTAACATAGGTCCTCACCTGTTTTGGTCTTTGCCTCCAGATGTTGTAGCCTGGCCTGGCTTGGCTGGCCCCAGTCCCAACTCTCACTGGTGGCCCTACAACCTGGCCCTACCCAGTCTGCTTTCATCCCTGACTCACACAAACCAGTAGGTATGATAGCCTAGTCCAGCATGACCTGCGCTCCAGCCCGACTTCTGAACTTGTTGGTGGGCTAAGGTTTGCTTGGCTCTATCCAATCTGCCCCCTTTCAAAGCCAACCCACACATTTGCCAATGGGTGAAGCTACTTTGTCATGCCTGTCCAACACCTAGGCCTGAGCCATGTGCTCACCAGTGGGAGCTATGGCCACTAGGGGAGTGTCCCAAGCTCCCCTACCAAGCCCACTGCAGAACTAGATCTCATGCATGCCTGTAGGTCCTTACCTTGTGTAGCCTGCCCTCTCCGTCCTGGTCTTTGAGCTGGTAGATGTTGTGGCTTGGCCTACCCTACACCCTGTTTTAGGGTGCACATGCGGGTGATACAGCCTGGACCTGCCCAGCCTATTCCCAGTCCCAGGACCCATGAGTGTAGATGGGTTCCATGATCATGTCTAGCTCAACCCATCACTAACCCCAACTCTTAACCTAACCAATGGGACTTGAAATTCCACAGGGTTGGGCCCACATATCCCCCACAGAATTTACCCCTGGTCCCAGTTCTTTCGCATGCTGGTTAGAGTCATGGCCCAGCCTAACATTACCCATCCCCTATTCTGACACTCATTATCAGGTACTGTGGTCTAGTCCTGCAAGGTAGATCCCCAACCCTAGCTTTTGTGTGAGCTGGTGAGTTGTGGTCAGCAATGATCTATGCTAACAAGTCCAGTTCAGGCTGTTGCATCACTCTCACCCATAAAGGTTCTTCAGCCTGTCCCCTTCAAACTGCCAGGTCTCAGTCCTCTTACTTACCTGCAAATACCGTGGCCTTGTCATTGGGAATCCCTCAGGAGTCACCTGCAACACACTCCCACAACAGTCTTCCCTCCCCCTTCTCTATGTACATTCTCTTTTTAAAAGTTTCATATTTTTAATTTGTGCACTTTTTTTTCTACACAAACAGAAGCTTAAAAGGAGATGTTGCTCAGGTCAAGGCTGCAGATTCAGCTGCATTTTACTTTCTTCTGCTGCCATGACCAGCTGTTAGACAAATCATCCTTTTTGAAGCTTGCTACTCCCAGACCTCAGCTCTCTCATTCTGTATGGCTTGAAATGTAGTTTGATATGGAAGAGGGAACTTTGAGACACAAAGATCTCATTGTCCTTGGCCTCTGTGGTAAATAGGAAGTCTCAGAAGACAAGGGTAAATGCTTCTGCCTTAAGGCCTTGACAGGATGAACACCACTAACTTTTAGGAAGTTTTCCTGCTCTCAGGAATATGTATCTGGTTTCCACAGCTACATCCTGAGGATCAGAATTTGGGGATAAGAGATACATAAAAGTGCTTTTTGCAAGCAAGAATCTCTAGTTTATTCCATATATAGAAACCAGTTTCCAGAATAGGGTAAAGAAAGGGCTTTGACCTGGCCCCACTTTGATGTGGGCCCTAGAGAGGAAGGTCTAGATTCTGGTGACCATTCTCGAGTCAGGAATGAAAAAAATCCTATTTTCTGGTCAGTCTGCATAAGTACCATGCACTAACTGACTGTGCCACTGGGGCTCCTACTAGTGAGTCTGAGATCAGGGAGTGGGAGCAATGATGTGGGGCGATTCTTTGTTTAGATGAATGTCAGCTTGGGGCAGGCTCTTCCAGGCAAGTTCCAAGATCCCGTAATGGGCAATACCCATGGCATGAATTGTTCTGATATTGTTCTGTCCAGGAAGGGGTATCACATCCTGGAACTCTGGAGGGTTTCTAGGGACACGAGAGCTGCTACAAAAAAGGTGATAAAATAACCGCTCCCCAGGAACTAGATCCGTGGTGTTTAGTGCCTCTTTATAGGTGATCTCTTGGGTCTGAGGTTCCTCTGTCAGTAGCAGGTCCTGTAACAGCTTCCGGATTCGGGGAGACTTGAGTTGGTACAGGTCCATGAGTTGATTGAACTGTTCCATCCAGGCAGCAGTGTCCTGGGCATATCGCTGCTGCAGCATCCGCAACACGTAGTACAGTGCCACAAATGTCTCCCAGAGAGGCAGCTCTTCCTTTTTATGTAAGATAGGCTGTGGCTTCTTCTCCAACTTGGGCAGTTTGGGCAACTTGCTCTTGTCCTTCAGATCCCAAAAGTCCTTCTGAAACATCAGTGCTAGTGTTTGTTTTTCCACAGAGGTATAGGGGCTTGGAAGAGTGTCTCTTGCGGCCGGATAAAAATGTTGTACATCCATCTCTTTAACAGCGTCAGATAGCTCTTGTGCCCGCTCACTTCTGTAGGGTTCTCCTAGAAGATGCCAGTTGAGAGCTTTTGGATCAAATACCCTCTTAGTAACTAGTTGGGGTTTTGATGTCAGGACATCTAAAGGTTTTGGCCAACCCTCCCTTTCCTTTGCTTTGATAGGAGGGATTACCTTTAGATGTTTTGGACTTAGGAACCCCTTACTAGGTTTTAAGATCCCCGTGCTTTGTGACTCCATGGCCTGTATATGATGGTACACGATGGCTTCCAGTTTGGCCAGCTGCAGCCACTCTAAGCTTCCCTTTGAGGTAAGGTCTTTGAGGAGCTGACACAATCTGTGAAAACTATCCCTGGGAAGCTGCTCTCCTGCTTCCATCTGCTCTAGCACTTGGTGGACCCACTGTGCATCTGAGAGACTTACCTCTGGAAGCTGTTCCTCAGTCAGGATTTTGGAAAAAGGCAATTTTCCTTTAGGTTGTACTGTCAGGGATGGACGATGTCGCAAAAGCCACTTCCTCCTGGAACCTGGTGGCTTATGTTGGAGTTTCTGAGTTTCCATGGTCTTCCTGATTATCTGGGTCATGAGTGGTGTCTTTAAACCTTCATCATGGGGCTCCAAAATCGTATCCAAAACATGTAGAGGTGCAGGTTTATATTCTTCCAACAGTTCTCTTTCTTTGTCCAAAAACTTGATCCTTGAGAATGTCATGGGTGCCTCGAGTTCTGTGCCCTTGTCTTCCCAGAATGTGTGTTTTACTGGTAATGGTGATGACATCTTCCTTCCCATCTCTAAATCCACTGAAATAGGTTTCTTAAAAGGGCTTTTCAGAATTTCCACTTTTAGAGCAGTACCTTTTACCTCAGGGACTGTTTTTCCAGTAGAAGGGGCTGTTTCCCGTCCCCTTACGACCATTCCACTTTCTTCTGGAAACTTCAGTAGTTTTTCCCTTTTTAGGATCTCCTTTTCCTTGTGTACCCCTTCCTCCAGTGAACTTTTATCCTCTTCCTCCTCCTCTTTTATTACATCTAAAGTTTCCATCTCATGCTCACTCACACTTTCTTCCTCCTCAGACATTTCTTCCTCCTTGAATAATTCGTCTTCTTGCTGCTCCTTTTTCTTTTGTTTCTTCACCTTTTCTTTCTTTTTCTTTGCCTTCCTTTTCTTTTCCTTCTGAAATTCCTCCTCCTCTTCCCCCAGTTTCCCTTCTTCCTCTCCCAGTTTCCCTTCGTCCTCTCCCAGTTTCCCTTCTTCCTCTCCCAGTTTCCCTTCTTCCTCTCCCAGTTTCCCTTCTTCCTCTCCCAGTTTCCCTTCTTCCTCTCCCAGTTTCCCTTCTTCCTCTCCCAGTTTCCCTTCTTCCTCTCCCAGTTTCCCTTCTTTCTTTCCCAGTTTCCCTTCTTCCTCTCCCAGTTTCCCTTCTTTCTTTCCTGGTTTCCCTTCTTCCTCTCCCAGTTTCCCTTCTTTCTTTCCCAGTTTCCCTTCTTCCTCTCCCAGTTTCCCTTCTTCCTCTCCCAGTTTCCCTTCTTCCTCTCCCAGTTTCGCTTCTTCCTCTCCCCATTTCTCTTCCTTCCTTCCCCATTTTCCTTCCTCCTTCCCTTCGGCCCCTTCTACTTTCATCCCCTCTACTTCCATCTCCTCTACTTCTGCCTCCTCCTCCTCCACCCCTTCCTCCTCCACTCCCTCTTCCTCTACATCCTCTTCCCCCTCTTCTTCCTCTTCTTCCTCTTCCTCCTCTTCTTCCTCTTCTTCCTCTTCCTCCTCTTCTTCCTCCTCCCCTTTCTCCTCTTCTTCCTCTTCCTCCTCTTCCTGTCCCTCCTTCTCCTCCTCAGAGGAACTCTCTTGCTCTACTTCACCTAACAGCCTTTCCATCTCCTTAGAGAAGCTTTCTTCGATGCCTAACTCGTCCTCTTCACTGGAGATCTTTCCCTTTGTTGTAGCAACTCCTTGTAGCCGTTTGCGCTTTCTCTGCCTTTTTTTAAGGATGTGGATTGCCTCCTCCTCTCCTTTTTCTTCTTCCTCTTGTTCTTTCATTAATCCTTCTTCCTCCTCCCCCTCCTGAAGAACTTCACTGTGTTCTTTGGCCAACCTGTTTTCTTCCTCAGCAATTTTTTTCTCCTGGCTTATCATTTTTCTTATTTCCTTGGTCAGTTTTCTCTGCTTTTGGGCCAGTTTTTTCTCTTTTTTGGTCATGTCTGCTTGATCCGTGGAAAAATCCCATTCTTTGGCATCAAGTCTATCTTGTTCCTTGTTCAATGTGCTCTCCTTAACAAAAAGTGACCTCTTTATCTTTGCCATTTTTAATTCTTGCTGGGTTAGCTTTCTTTCATCACTGACTACTTTTTGAAGTGCCTTTAAGGCTTTTGAAGTGCCACCTTTTGTTGGTTCCTTAGAAATGTCACCTTTCTCTTTAGCCATCTCCCTTACTGCTTTGGCTAACTTCCTTTCTTCTTGGGCATACATTCTCTGTCCTCTGGTAAACTCCAGTTTCCCCTTGGCAACATTCTTCTCCTCTGTGGCCAATATCCTATCTTGATAGGTCAGTATTTTCTCTTCTTGTGACAATTTCCTTTTAATTAGATTTATTTCCTCCTCAGATGGTTTTTTCTGTCTTGAGGGTTTTGGAATTCCTCCCTTCAACAGAACTTCCATTTGCTTAGTCAGTCTCGACTTCTCTTGGGCCACTTTCTTCATTTCCTTGTGTAAGGCTTCTTGTTCATTAGCAATATTCAGTTCATCTCTGAGCAGTTTCTTTTCTTGGAATGTGGATGTTTTCCCCAAAGCTAATTTGATTTTTTCCTGGGCCAGTTCCTCCTGTTTTTTAGCCAGACTTCCCTCTACCTGAGCCAGTTTTTTCTCTGTATTAACCAGTTGCTCCTTCATCTGGGTCACTGACTCCCTTTCTTTATTTAGCCTCTCCTCTGCCTGAGCAAGTTTCTGTGCGTACATTTCCAGATTCTTCTTTGCCAGGATTAACTGCTCTCTGGTCTTCAGGAGGTTTTCTTTGAGACGGTGGAGATTATCTTTACTCGGAACCAATCTTTCCTTATCTTGAACCAGATTCTGTTTTTCCCAAGCCAGATTCTCTTCTTTCTGCATCATGATGTTCCTGTTCATGGTGAGCTCTTTCCTGTCTTGGGTCAATTTTTCCCTTTCCTTGAACAGTTTCTCTTTATTCTGACTCAGCTGTTCCCTTCTCTTGGCCAGTTTTTCCACATCCTGAGGGCTTTTCCCCTTGTCGTGGGCCAGTTTTTCTTCTTCCTCTTTTAGCAGCTGTTCTTCCAAGATCATTTTTTCCTCTTTCTTAGCCAGTTTCTCTTCTTGCCTGTTAAGTGTCTTCTCTTGCTGAGCCAGTCTCTCCTTTTCCTTGGCCACTTTTTCTTTTTCTTTATTCAGTCCCTGTTCTTTCCAAGCCATTTCTTCTGTTTCCCATTCCATTTGCTCTATTTCCTCAGCCAAATTCTTTTCTTGCTGTGCCAGGATTTTCTCCTTTTTGGACAGTGTTTCACGTTTCTGGGCCATTACTACTTTTGCCTTGGCCACATCAACTCTTTTCTTTGCTAGTTTCTCCTCCTTGTGAGCCGCTGTCTCCATTTTTTTTGCTAGTCTCTTCATTTTCTGGGCCAGTTGCTCTGCTTCATGGCTTATCATCACTTGTCTATGGGCCAGCTTTTCCTCTTTCTGAGCGGTCTTCCTCTCTTCCTGGGCCACTTTTCCCTCTCCTCGGATCGTTTTCAAAAACTCTCGGGCCAGTTTTCTCTCTTCTTGGGCCAATTTTCTTTCTTCTTGTGCGAGTTTCTCTTTTTGTTGAGCTAGTTTCCTCCCTTCTTTGGCATATCTTCTTGCAGCGCGGGCTTTTTTTCTCTCTTTCATGGCCAGTTTTCGTTGTTCCTGGATTTGTCTCTGCTCTTCAGTGGCTGGTTTTTCTTCCTCTTCCTCTTCCTCTTCTTCTTCCTCTTCCTCTTCCTCTTCTTCTTCCTCCTCCTCCTCTTCCTCTTCTTCTTCCCACTTCTTAGACATTTCTTTCCATCTCTGAAACAGTTCTTTCTCCAGCTCCTTTTCTTCACCTTTATGATCCTTGGGCCTGGATGAAAACACATCTTCCCAGGTCCGTTTCCACTTGTCCCATTTCTTCTTCTTTTCCCTATCCTTTGTTTCCTCCTCTTCTGGGAATATTTCCTCCTTGTCTTGTTGTTGCTCCTCTTTCTCAAGACGTCTCCATTCATCCGAGGATATCTTCTCACTTTGGCCCTTTTTCCATTGATCCCAGAAATTCTTCCACTCAGGGAAAGTGGGTTTCCTTCTAACTGTCATTGGTCTTTCTTTTTCCTCAGCTATTTCTTCTGGTACAGCTATTTCCTCCATTTCCTTATACATTTCTCCCTCTTGTTCAGTTATTTCCCTCCTCTTTTTATCTGCCTTCGCTTCTTTCTGGAATTTCTTGTCCTCTTTTGGGACTTCCTTGTCCTCTTTCTGGACTTCTTTGCCCTCTTTCTGGACTTCTTTCCCCTCTTTCTGGATTTCTTTCCCCTCTTTCTGGATTTCTTTCCCCTCTTTCTGGACTTCCCTCTCCCCTTCCTGTACTTCTTTCCCCTCTTCCCAGACTGCCTTCCTCCCTTCCAGGACTGCTTTCCTCTCCTGTTTAGGTGACACCTTAGACAATTTCTTTTCTTCTTTCTTTGATTTTCGTTTTCCTTTGGTTAGGTCACCTGGTTCTACAAAAACAAGTTTCTTTTTCTTGCCTTTTTTGCGAATCAACTTGGTTTCCTCCTGCAGGGCACTTTCTTCCATCTGCTCCTCTTTCTTTTGCTCCTCTTCCTCATCTCTGATCACTATGTCCTCACTAATGATCTCTTCATGAATAAACCTTGGTTTCTCTTCTTGCCAGATTACATCCCAGTCAAGATCCTCCATTGTAACCTTGCTTTCTTTCTTCAATACGGGACATAGCTCCTGAAAGAGCTCCCAGCTGGGAAACCGATCTGCCAAGATCTCCTTAGCCTTAGCCACTAGCTCAGTGTTTAAAGCTTCTGACAGTTTTGTTTGGGATTCAGATACCCTCAGGACCATAAGGCGACACAGGTCATCCCGCCACGATGAGCCACGTCCATGGGGCCTCTTGTAGCCAGGCACTCCACTCATGCCCCGTCCCTGAGCTTTAGCCTTTTTCACAATTTGTCTTTCTACCAAAGTAGGCTGAGATTCCTCGATTATGCCTTTGTCTTCTTTTTTCTTCTTCTTGTGCCCCTTTGTTGGCTTTTGACCTGTTGCTTTCTTGTCTTTTTTGTCATGCACTTTCTTTAGCACCTTCATTGTCGAGGCAACGTGATCCTTTGAGAGATCTTCCTCTGAGGATTCAGCCTCTCTTGAGAACTTCATACTGCTGACAGAAGCCATTTTTGAATGAATGGATGCATCATCCAGGATCTCAAATGGTGCAGCTTCACTCAGCTCACTTTCAACCTCTTTGTCTATGGGCTCTGTGATCATCAGTTTTAAGTCTACCTCTTTCTTCTTGAGACTCCGCAACAGTTTCCGAGCTGCTGGGAAGATCAAGAGATGGGGATAAGAAAAGCACAGAAGGCTAGAGTGAGGTAAGAAGAACTTCCATTAAAAAAAAAAAAAAAGCAGTCTCTTTGCTTTTGCTTTAGTCTGAGCATCTCTTTCCCCCATCCCAAATAGAGTCTTCATGAGAATGGGTAGATCCTTAATAGGAGAGTTAGGAGAATTCTTTTTTTAAACAATTATTTAAGGGATGAGAAAGAGAGTGCGCTCTACTTGTTCACATGGCCAGGGCCAGGCCAGGCTGATGCCAGGATCCCAGAGCTGCTTCTGGGTCTCCCATATGAGTGCAGAAGTCCAAGTACTTGGGCCATCTTCTGCTCTTTCCCAGGGACATTATTAGGGATCTGGTTTGGAAATAGAGCAGCTGGGACTCAAACCAACATCCACATGGCAGTGGCTTTTCTCAATACACCACAATGATGGCTCCAGAGAGTTCTTTTCAATGATATTTCCACTGTTCTTTTTTTCCCCACCCAGTAACTTTTGGCTTCTTTTAATCCTAATTGTCCTCCTACCTCTTAAGAAACCCTAGGACATGGACCATATCACCCCATACATACTCTGCTTTTTTCCCATTCCTCGGCCCCGTTTTGGGGCTTTGCTGGGCTTGATGGTCATGCCAGATTCTTCACCAAGTGTGTGAGGTTGTGTGGGAAGGTATATAGCTTCATAAGCCCTAGAGACTTCTAAAGAGAAATCAGGCTTTTTATCTCCCGACAAGGTCAGGTTCTCATTCAATCGCTGCTCCACTTGAGCCTGAAGGATTTGGAGATCTGTGGGCCGCATCCCTAGCAGATGGTCCAGGGATTCCTCCCCTATCATCTCCAGCCTGTGGAAATCAAGGGAGAGGAAGGATTATAACAAAAACAGGGAGTGAAAGAGAATGGGAAAAAAGACCTAATGTGGAATAGGCAGGTGGTTTAGCAGAAAAGTGAAGAAGTACAGCATTAAATGGAAGTAAATGATGTCCAAGAAGAAAAAAAAAGTTTAGGAAGCCAAGATAGACAGTGAATGAAGTGTGATCTGTACAGGGACACTGCAGGGATATGAAAAAGGATGAATGTGAAATGGTAGGAATAGTCAAAGAAGTGGAGAATGGAATGAGCAGTGAGGGGAACATCAAATATAACTTAGAGTTGGAAAAAAGCTATGAAAAAGAAGATTAGGAAGGAATGACGAGTGGAAAAAAGGAAAATGGAGGGGGAGGAGGAAGAAAATTAGAAGCTGGTGAAGAAGTGAGGCAGTCACAACTTACTGCATGTCTCGGAAAGTCTCTTTCTTCTGGATCACCTCTAAAAGTGAGGCCTTTGAGTGAACTCCAATGTCACCCATTAAGCCCAGGGCCTTAGTTCTCACTCTTTGGTCCTTGTCCATTAATCCTTGCGCCAGAGGCAAGGCAAAGAGATGAGTAATCATTCCTAAACACTTGAGCCCTTCCCAAGCCAGTTCTCGAATTTGTGGGTTGGAATTTGTTGTATCGTCCAGTAGCCGATGGGCTGTCTCAGAGCGCAGGGAAGGCGATACCTGATAAGAGGCAAAGATTTGGCGCAGGGCACCAACACAGCACTGGTACTTAAGTGGTGAAGCATGAATCATGACGCTGAGGATTGTCTCAATCAGGCTGTTGACAGCTATTTCACTCATCTTTCTTCCCAGCCAACTGCGGTTCGTTGTGTCTGTAAGGACACTGTAGGTTGGCTCCTTGGAAATTCTCATGCCTAGGAAGTCTTCATCTTCCTTCTCCTCTGGATATTGTACATCACTTAAAGCTCTAACCCTGCTATGCCAGAAGAATTGTGGAGGCTTGTCCCATTCCAGCTCCCGCTGGGGAGCATGCAGGCTACACTGTAGGAATATTGGACTGCCCTCTGGCCAAAGACGGGCACGGATCACTGAGTTGGGGATGTAGCAGTCAGGCGCAAGAAGCCATTCCCGCCCATGACCAAAGTAGCATCGCAATATCTGATAGGGATTGAGTCCATCCCAGCTAGTCAGCTGGAGTTGGGGCGGGACTACATAATGGGGTTGGTGAGGTTGGCTCCCCTGCTTCCAGTCGCCTGCTACTCCTTCTGTAGAATCATGTTTGGGGGTGCGCAGCAATACCGGACTCCCTTCATCATCTTCTTCTATCACATGTGGCACGGAATGGTCAAAGGCAATGGCACGCTTGTTGATAAGGCTCTCCAGACCTACTAATTCCTGTTGCCCATGTCCAAGGTAGACATATTTGGGCACAAACATGATCTCAAAGGAGAAGAAGAAGCTTGGCATGAAAGGTTTAGGCGTTTCTACTACTTCATCTGTTATGCTCATAAGGGAAAAGCAAGACAGAATGTTGGGAGGAAACAGTTTTAAACAGGATACCAGATAAAGACTCTGGTTGAAGGTTACAAGTAGATCCCCTCGGTCATTTGCAAAGCAGATAGGGCCAAAATGCAGCGATGAGTCCAACATGGCTATGAGTCTACCGTGAAAGTCCCAAATCCGGACAGAGCCGTCAGTACCACCTGTAACAAAAACACTCAAAGGCAGGCAAACGTCAAAGGACATAATTGAACACTGGTGCAGAGGGAGGGTCTCTATGAACTTTGAGCCCCCCTGTGACCCAGAGGAGAGAAAATCATGGAACTTCCAGAGACGCAGGCAGTTAGTCTCTGTGATGGCGCCCACAGACTTGGGCAAGAGGATAAGGTGTTTAAGGTGACAGCTGCTGAGAATGCTAGCCAGTGGCCTCAGCTGTACTCGAATCCCATCAAGCACAGTTTCTGATAGGTGGACGTAGTCATCCATTCCATAGGAACAAAGCAAAGAGTTTTCTCGGCCGCCCAAAATTCCTCCAGACATTGTGGAGAGTGATAATACAGCCCCAAAGTGCATGAATTTCTCTATGCGGGCACAGCTGTGCTGAGAGAGAACTCTTATTACACCACTCTGGTGCCCAGAGAACACTAGTCCTTCTAGTCCCCGGCCCAGATGGAAATGTCCATAAGCCAGGCATTGTACAAAGTCCTTGGAATCTGATGAGGTGCCTAGGAGATACTTGGCTGGGCAAGGGCAACGGGTTGTGTCAAATACTAAAACCTCTGAGCTGCCTGTTGCCACAAAGAGCTCCTCTTTACCTGGGTCATAAGCCCAATCCACAGCTTGGTCCAGGATTGAGAAGGGCCAGGTGAGAACCAGAAGATTCCCTGTTACTGGGGACACAAAGTGTAACAAACCATCCTCAGTGGTGCACAGGATCCGATACCAGTTTTCTCCACAGCGGACCCGACGCACTTGCTGCGGAGTGGATCCACAGACATTGAAGAGGCTATAGAAACAGGGCAGGCAACGCAAGGAAAAACTGTGGTTGGTTTGGCAGAAAAAAGTTGTGTTATCAATAAACTGAAGTCGATGCAATTCCTCACCCAGTTCTAACCGCCGAAGTAGGTTCCCTGAAGTAAGGTTCCACTCTTTGATTAAGCCTTCCTTTCCAGCTGTTAGCAGGGTGTGGGCCTCTGGCCGGCTGTGGATACATATCACAGATAAGGAATGAGCCCTAAAACTGTGGAGGGACTGACCCCAGTTGAGGTTCCACACTTGTATTTCGCCAGCCTTGTGTCCAGCGTACAGAAGGCCCTGATCGAAACAGGTGCAGCAGCAGGTGATGGGGGAGCCCCTGGTTGTGGAAGTGAATTTCCTTATCTCTGCCAGCTTACCCTGGCTCTGGCGTTCAAGGACCCTTACCACAGTTTCACAGAGAGCTATGAGGGAGCCATTGGGGCCATTCAGCATGATGTCCTGGATAAGCTCATCATTAGGCATGGAAATTACGTGGAGCATTTGGAGGCCCTTGCCGCTTCGCTCAATGAGCCAGGTGATGACTGCCCCCATGACACCAGACAGAAGCATCTTCATTTCTGGGTCATAACAAAGGCAACTGATGTTGAAGCGGCAGGGTACTATGCCTAGGGGCTTGAATGCCCGAAAATGGTCCCCAAAGAGTCGCAGAAACAGGTCGCCACAGTAGGCCACAAGGATGTGAAAAGAACCCGTGTGGACCATGGTCTGAATAGGTGGCAGTCGCTCAGTCATAGAAAAGGTTCTTTTCTCAACCATGTCTTCGGTTTTGCTCTTCATCCATACTACAGCCTGGAAGAAAATAAGATGGGGACTGTTTAGAAAGGATAATAAGAGGAAGAAAGGACTGAATATTTAGCTACTTTTCCTTGCTCTTATGCTAAGGAGGAATTGGAACACACTACACTAATTTTACTGAGAGTTAGAAATTATTCAAGATGGGAAGCTCAAGACTCTTTCACTAACTTTTGCCTACTTTAGGGACCACAGTGTACTCAAAATAGAGGCTGTCACTGAAGAGAGAATGAGGGGCGAGTCCTGCCTCTGGGCCACATTTATTCAAAGGCTGTATCTTTGTCAGTCTGGGCTGAGGGCTGGAGAATAGGCAGGCATTGTGGTACAGCATGTTAAGCCACCACTCGGGATACACTCACCACATATTGGAGTGCCTGGGATTGAGTTCCACCTCCATTTTTGATCCAGCTTTCTACTAATATTCCTGCAAGGCAGCAAACCCAAGTACTTGGGTTCCTACCACCCACGTGGAGGGCCCTGTGCGATAGCATAGTGGATAAAGTCCTACCACCCACGTGGGAGACCTAGATGAAGAGTTTGACTCTGGTTTTGGCCTGGCCTAACTCCTCATCTGAGAAATGAACCAGGAGATAGAAGATCTCTCTCTCTCTCCCTCCGTGTATGTGTGTGTGTCTTTCCTTGCCCCTTCCCCCCTTCCCCCATCACTCTAAATGAACCAAACTATAAAGGAGTAGAATGGCAGTTTTACCTGTATTTCTTTTGTGGATGGTGTCAGCCAAGAAAGGGAAGCAAAGAAGTAGGAGTCACTCACGTAATGGCTTATGAATGGCATATTCTGAGGATAGCGAGATTCTTTGAACAGCACCTGGGACCTGTCACTCAACACAACTAGGTCATTCTTTGGATCAGCTGAAGGTTTCTGAGGAGAGGTATGGCATAAGCTAAGAGGCCAGGACCCATAAGCACCAAATATAAACCCACAAAGGTTGCAGCTGAAACAGTGCCACGAGTTATGCCTCCAATCCCAAGGCTGACTTCTGTTACACCCACATGCGCTTATTACCTTTAGAACATCAACACTTGATGTGCACTTAAGAGATCCATCAAAATGTAAGGCACCCAATCCCCCATAGGTCCTACGTGGGCAGACTTCATCATTGTGACCACAGAGAAAAAGCCGTCATTTAACATTTTCTCTTGCTTCGAAAAGTACTAGTGTTGTAAAGGCCACAACATCTTAAAATCACCAGGCAAGTACATCACCTTATACTTATAATATCAAGAAGTGTCCCAAAAGTTAGTATGGTGCTAAAAACTTAAAACTTGACTAAAGTTCTTAGGATACCCTGTTTGGCCTTTACGTTTGATGGAGGACCAGCACACGTACAATATAGATTGCCCCACAATGATAGACCGTGGAGTACATACATCAGGGGGTCCTTGTACACATAGCCAACCCCCCAGAGTAAACTGAAGATGCCAAATGTTCTTTCTGGTGCTTTTCCCCTTCTCTTTCAGAAAATCTTCCTGGCACTGCTTCCTCTGAAGGTTTGCTTTTCACCTCCCACTATCAACATTTCCTTCTACCAAGTCTATTAGACTCATTGGGAATTAAAAGAGCTGCTTCCTACTAAGGTGACTGTTGTCTTTGTGGTCTGTCTGGCTTGTTTCCTATTTCCGTGGACCATTCTCTGGCACCCCAAAGAGGCTAGTGAGTTAAATGTGTGTCTTACATGGACCTTACCTTGCCTTTCTGTATAGTGTCATTTACAAGGCTTTTAAAATCCTTCCACAGGGGAATAAGTCTGGGAGAAGACATCACCTCAAATTTCCCCTGCTTCTCTTCAGAACTGTTGCTTAAAAACCCATGGGATTCCAAAAGAGGGGGACTCGGCCACTCTTACTCTGTTCAAGGACCTAGGAATCAGAAGGCAAGAATCATAAACTCGTGTTAATTAAACACCTTCTAGAGGGACAGTGTTGTGGGTTAAAGCTGCTGCTTATACTTTCAGTTTCCCATACTGGAGCACCAGTTGGTATCCTGACTCCTCCACTGCTCATCCAGCTCCATGCTGATGTGCCTGAGAAAACAGCCAACAGAAGAGGTTCAAGCCTCAAGAGGATCCTGCCACCTGTGTAAGAGACCAGGACAGAGTCTCCAGCTTCTGGACTCAGCGATTGCAGCTGTTTAGGTAATAAACTAGCCGACGGAAGAACACATTCACTCTCTTTCCTTACTCTTTAATTGCTCTGCCTTTCAAATATTGTTTTAATATTTATTTTTATTGGAAAGGAGACTTACAGAGATAAGGAGAGACAGAATGAAAGATCTTCCATCTACTGGTTCACTCTCTAAAAGGTCATAATAGCTACAACTGCGCCGATCCAAAGCCAGGAGCCAGGAGACTCTTCCAGGTCTCCCACGCAGATGAAGGGTCCCAAAGCTTTGAGCCATCTTCCACTGCTTTCCCAGGCCACAAGTGGGGGGCTGCATGGAAAGTAGAGCAGCCAGACATGAACTGGCACCTGTATAGGATTCCAGCACTTACAAGGGGTGATGGGGGAGTAGTCAATTGAGCCATCATGCTGGGTCCCAAATTTAAAAATTAATGAAAATAATAAAACACCTTCTGAATGTCTTAGCTGTGCACAAATACACCTTTGCCTTTAGTCTTTATAACAACTCCAGGAGGTGTAGGAATCACCTCATTCTATATGAGAAACCCAAGGCTTCCAAAGGAGTAATAAAGGTATTAGCATTTTCTGTCATATTGCAATAGGATATTATGGATGAAGGAGGCATGAAATTCTAAGAATGGGGCTAGACTAGAATGCCCTTGGGTAAACTGTAGTTCTTTGCTGCTTGTAGTGTGCTAGGATAGCATTTTGTGAAGGACTAAGTTTTCTTAAGAAGTGGTCTCTGCACCTGCTGCATCAGTTTCCTAGTGTGTGTGTTGAGGGGAAGATTCCTAGAACCCTGTCTTAAACCTACTTAGTCAGAGCCATGGACTTGAGCCCCAAAAACCTTCACTTTTATCAGGCTTCCTAGGTGATTCTGTTGCTGTATGAATCTCAAGACTTAAAAAAAGAGAGATGATGGGCCCGGCAGCGTGGCCTAGTGGCTAAAGTCCTCGCCTTGAATGCACCGGGATCCCATATGGGCGCCGGTTCTAATCCCAGCAGCCCCACTTCCCATCCAGCTCCCTGACTGTGGCCTGGGAAAGCAGTCGAGGGCAGCCCAAAGCTTTGGGACCCTGCACCCCCGTGGGAGACCTGGAAGAGTCTCCTGGCTTCGGATCGGCATAGCATCAGCCGTTGTGCTCACTTGGGGAGTGAATCATCGGACAGAGGATCTTCCTCTCTGTCTCTCCTCTCTGTATATCCGCCTTTCCAATAAAAATAAATCTTTAAAAATAAATAAATAAATAAATCTTAAAAAAAAAAAAAAGAAAGCGAGAGATGATAAGCACCCAGTACTAAGTCAGCACCACCTACCACAGACAGAGAAAAGATCTGGCCATTTGGGCTCGAAGCCTTCCTCAAGCTTGTGGAATCAGGTAGCTGAATCATTGCCCTGTTCTCCATTCCCTTCTCTTCGGTCATCGCGAGACTGCTAATTTTGCTGGTTGGACTGTAAATATTCTTACTTCGAACAATCCCTCTGTCAAGGAGTCTGTTGTCACTAGTGTGTGATGGACTTAACTTCTCATTTCTTTCTGTAAATGAAAATGCCTATCTGGCCTAGTTTACAAGGTTGTTGCGAAAAAAAAATTTGAAGAGGGTAATTCATGTGAAAACCATGTTAAGTAGACTCTGAATTAATAAGAAGTTGTGATTATCATTTTCAGGTTAGTCTGGTTCTCAGGTAAGTGACCACTCAATTTCCTTTCATGCCATTTTCTACTTCTCAGGTGCTTTGGAAACATGACAGTTAAATGCATGGTCTTCCCAGCAGAGGGCAGTAGAAACCCAACCTTGTTTGCTAGATGAAACAAAAACTAAAGGGAAATGGTTCCTAAAGTGTGCTCTTCAGTAAATGATACACACTCCTATTTCCTCAAAAGTCTTGAGCACACCTGTATGAGCAGACAGACATAGGAAGGTTCATATAGCTGTCTAATTTTTAATAACAGAACCAGAAATAATATTGCTATGATTTGAATATCCACACCACAACTCAAGATTTAAGCCCCATTCATCATTCAGTATTAAGAGGAGGGATTTTTAAAAGATGTGACCAGGTAGTGAAAGTGCTGTTCTCATAGATTAATATATATAGTATAATAATGAACATAATTCCCAGCCTCACTTGGGAATTTGTTAAAAACACAAGCTATTACCCTCCCCTGCTCTGAGGCCTGTATCAGAAACTCCGAAGAAAGGATCCCTGAAATCTGAGTCTCAACAAGCTCTCTAGCTTGTCTCTTTTTTTTTTAAGATTAATTTCTATTGGAAAGTCAGAGGAGGAGAAACAGAGAGGAAGATCATCTATCAGCTGATTCACTCCCCAAGTGGCCTCAACAGCTGGAGCTGAGCCAATCCAAAGCCTGGAGCCAGGAACTTCCTCTGGGTATCCTACGTGGGTGCGAGGTCCCAAGGCTTTGGGCCGTCCTCGACTGCTTTCCCAGGCCACAAGCAGGAAACTGGATGGAAAGTGGGGCTGCCCATATGGGATCCTGGCGCGTGCAAGGCGAGGACTCCAGCCACTAGTCCCACCACACCAGGCCCTCCAGCTGATCTTAATGCTAGCTAAAGTGTGAGAGTCCTTGGTTTGGAGAGTTGCGGAGTCTCCGATCAGTTTGATCTGGCCTCCTGATGCAAGGGCAGTGGAACACTCTCCCAGATGGCCGAGCCTCTCCAGATGGCCGAGCCTGGACCCTGGCTTGCCCCAGGGACTGGATGGCTGGCTTCGCAAGGAGCTGAGAATAGACTTATCATCAGCTCACATACGCACAACAGATCAGAGTGTGCATGCAGGTGCTCACACAGCACAGCACATACATCAATTGCTTCATCACTTTCAGAAAATTGTGAGAGGCAGATGTCATCATCTTCACTGATGTAGGAGGAATAGGATATCAGAGTCGGGGGATAGGGACATATTTGAGACCACATGGGGGCATATTCAACACTAAGACCTGGTCCACAGTTGTTGAAGATTCACCTACAATATCAAAGGAAGAAACTCTTCCAGGTGTTGTTAAGAAAACTCTCTGGACCAGGTGTGATGGCTCAATTGGCTAATCCTCCACCTCCAAGTACCGGGATCCCATTTGGTTGCCAGTTCATGTCCTGGCTACTCCACTTCCCATCCAGCTCCATGTTTATGACCTAGGGAGGCAGTGACCTTGCACCCATGTGGGAGACCCAGAAGAAGTTTCTGTCTCCTGGATCTTTACTTCAGGTGAGTGCAGCTCCAGCCCTTGTAGGCTTTTGGCTAGTGAACTAGCAGGTGGATGATCTTTTTGTTTCTCTCTATATAAATCTGATCTGCCTTTCCAACAAAAATAAATCAAAAAAGAAAAAAAAAAAGAAAGCTGTCTGGGGCCAGCGTGGTAGCTTAGTGGCTGAAGTCTTTGCTTTGAATGCGCTGGGATCTCGTATGTGTGCCCATTCGTATCCCGGCAGCTCCACTTCCCTTCCAGCTCCCTGCTTGTGGCCTGGGAAAGCAGTCAAAGATGGCCAAAGGTTTGGGATCTTGCACCGATGTGAGAGACCTGGAAGAAGCTCTTGGCTCCTGGCTTGGGATTGCCTCAGCTCCGGCTGTTGTGGCCACTTGGGGAGTGAAGCAGTTAGACAGAGGATCTTTCTGTCTCTCCTCTCTTTGGAAATCTGACTTTCTAATAACAAATAAATAAACCTTTACCCCTAAATTTACTCACAGTGGGAGCAAGGAACTGCATGCCAGAAGTCAGTATCTCTTTTGTCTCTTCCCGTTGTGCTGAAGCTGTGTGCTGCCCTCCAGTATCCTGTTCCATTCTGTTCCCTGTTCACCCTGTGCTTGCTGCGTCTTGGGACCACTTTGCAGGGGCCTGTGCGCTCTGCTTCAGATCCTGCACATCAGTGGATGGCTCTGCGGGCAAGGCCCCGATCTCAGACTTAACCCCATCAGCCTGCTCTTGATGCCCCGGAGCTGCTGGGAGAGTCGTCATGGCTGTAACTAATCTGCAGTTTCTGCTATCGGTTGTCTCCACTGGGTTCCATTTCTGTCACACAATGAGCCCACAAAAAGCAAGCTCCTTTTGAGGGAACATTTCGGAGAACCCATCAAAAAAGAGGACCTCTAAATCCCAAGGCTCTGAAATTGGGTTTTTTTTTTTTTTTCTTTTGGCTCTCTCTTTCACCCTATAAACCACATTACTCTATGAATAAATCTCTCTCCTTCCACATTCTATTTCCTAATCCCAGCATCTACCCAGGACAAAGCCAGAGTGAACTCCAGAGGCAGGCCTCCATCCTCATGATAGTGACTGTTTAATATCTCAATTCCCTAAAAAGAATTGAATGGAGAATTTGGGCTCTGTGGCTAACTTAGGGAAGAGGGTATCCGGGCCATATTCATGTTCTATATGGTCATGGAGACAAAACAAGTCTGCGACTAGACTTTTTCTTAGTTTCAGTCCAGTCCCAGGTACCATGTGGTCCGTAGTCTGAAATCCCATGAGCCCTGCCTTGTAATGGAGAGAGTTTCCTCTAGGGGGCACTCAACTCCACCACACTGTCAGGTCAAGGGGCTGTGATTCATTTGTAGGACTCTGAAGTGAGGCTAAGGGTCCGGACAGTGAGTGGTCCAGGTCCATACAACTTTTCATAGGGTAGGCAGGCACTAAAGGAACTTTCATTAAATTTGATTACAACGCAAAATGATGTGGTAGTATTCTTTGAACTTTTTGCCTACTTTGAACTTCTGCAAACTTAAATTTCATTAAGAGGAAAAGCCAAAAAGTGCTGTAAGAACATATAACGTGGAGACCTGACCACCCCTTTAAGTAGGGTCCTACAAGGATTATACAGCCTTGTAGATGGGGCCTACATTTGAGAACAGGGGTATACAAAGTCCAACAGGTATCAGAAGGGCCTACTGAGTCAGAAGGGTACTTTAGCGTGTCCTATTCTCTGAATGACATTATTAAAGGCACTCACCTAGGGCCAGCACGATGGCTCAATTGGCTGATCCTCAGCCTGCAAACACTGGCATCCCATATGGGCAAAGGGTTTGTGTCCCAACTGCTAAACTTGACATCCCACTGCCTGGGAAAGCAGCAGAGGACGGCCCAAGACTTTAGGATCCTGTACCTGCATGGGAAACCTAGAGGAGCCTCTGGCTCCTGGCTTTGGATCAGCTCAGCTCAGGCCATTGTGGCCATTTGGGGAGTAAACCAGTGGATGAAAGATTTTTTTCTTTGTCTTTCCTTCTCTCTGTAAAAAAAAAAAAAAAAAAATATGGGGCCCGGCGCCATGGCACAGTGGTTAAGGTCCTTGCCTTGCACGTCCGGGATCCCATATGGGCACTGGTTCTAATCCCGGCGGTGCCAGTTCTAATCCCACTTCCCATCCAGCTCCACTTCCCATCCAGCTCCCTGACTGTGGCCTGGGAAAGCAGGTCCGAGGACAGCCCAAAGCTTTGGAATCCTGCACCCACATGGGAGACCCGGAAGAGGCTCCTGGCTTTGGATTGGCATAGCATCGGCCGTTGCGCTCACTTGGGGAGTGAATCATCGGATGGAAGATCTTCCTCTCTGTCTCTCCTCTCTGTATATCTGCCTTTCCAATAAAAAAATAAATAAAAAATAAATCTTTAAAATAAAATCTGCCTTTCCAATAAAAAAAAAATTAACTGCTGAAATTTTTTTTTTTTTCCTAAGAAAAGCACCCACGTTTGTTCCCAGTGCAACTCTGGCCTTCAGGTGGCTTTACAGCTGGGGCGGGGGCTGGAACACTTTCTCTGTGGGGAGAAACAATTTTCCCACATACACGTGGGCTAGTTTCTATGGGGTGGAGTTACCTGGGAATAATGCCAACATCCAGGACTGAAGTGGCATTTTATATAGATGGTTTCATTGTTATGGCGATTTGATGGCATGGCTATCATCCCTCCCCTTTCAACTTTTTTTTTTTTTAATTTTAATGAGCAAGGGAGACATATCCAAAAACATACTGAGGAAAAGAATGTAACATGAGTAACAAAAAGAAGGCAACCTTTTCATCTCACTCCTCGTGCCTGGTCTCAATTGACCCTGATTATGTCTTTCTATAGGTGTCCTGTATATACCCATTGACATCAGCATGTTTTTCTTATACAAATCGTATATACACTGCCCTGTATGCTTTCCGCTCAGTATATCTTAGTGAATAGTTGAAATTAATACCTGTAGCTCTGCCTGCAGAGTATTCCGCTGTGTGGCTGAATTGTCATTTATTTAATTTAGGTTTTTTTTTAGACTTATTTATTTTTATTGGAAAGTCAGATATACAGAGGAGGAGAAACAGAGAGGAAGATCTTCCATCCATTGATTCACTCCCCAAGCAGCCGCAATGGCTGGAGCTGAGCCGATCCAAACCCGAGTCTCTTCCATTTCTGTCAATGGTTATTGAAGAGTTTTGTTACTAGAACCAATGCCACAAATATTAACGTCTTTGGACTTGTAATGAACACATGCAAGAACTGAAGCAGTGAAAATATCTTTGCATCCAAATACAGCTTGGAATATCTTAGGTATATGATGATCAGGATTAAATAAATTATGAAAATTAATTTCTCCTTAACTTGGTGTAACCCCTACAGCTGCTTAGGGGACTTGCACTGTTTCTTCCAGATAACATTGTTTCAGGTTATCAGTGTTTGGTGGGAGCCCGAGAGCCCTGTGGGTTGAGAACCTCCCGAGGCTGGCACGCGGTCTGTCTGAATTTCTTGTGTGTCCCCATACCCCAAGCAGGCATAGGTTAGAGGATTAATACATTTCTGTTGAGTTGAAGGACCTGCTGTCCTCTCCCAGGAGGAGACACAGGCTTCCCAGCCTCAAGTCTCACAGAGCATCTTCCTGGAAGACCGAAGGCTGAGGCGGGAAGGATGGTGCCTGGGGCTTTCTGACCCAAGAACCTTGCAATTCCAGTCCATTTCCTCGGTGACCCTTACGGAGTAGGAATGGCAATATCCATTCATAAAAACGGGAGCGGGGACCTGGTGGGCTGCATTTGGCCCCCTTTCCCAGGCCGTGGGTCCTACACACACACACACACACACACGCACACACACGCACACACGCGGGCGTGATCAATCAATGCGTGGAAGAGGCTTCGTGCAAGCCGGAGCCAGCAGAGGCCGAGGCAGCAGAGGGACGGCCAGACCGCGGACCCAGACCTGCGCGTGAAGAGCCAGGGTGGGCGTGTCCGCCTCTTCACCTCGGGGGTCGCGCCTTTTTACCTGCCACGCGATTCCCGACAGTGTGTGTGTGTGGCAGCACTCGGTGGCTGCCAAGCGGCACAGACCTACAGTGAGAAGCCGCGAAACGACTCCAAGAGAGCGGTTAGTCAGTCGCCCAACCCCGCGCTGGGCCGACTGACCACGCCGAGGGAGCCCAGCGCGCGTGCGCACCGGCCCGAGAACCTGCCTAGGCGCTACTCCGCACCCCGCGTCTCTCCCCGAGGCTCGCGTGCTCGGGGTTCACGAACTCGTGCCTCACGGAGAGAAAAGGAGAAGGCCTACGGAATGGAGACAGGGAACGGACCGGGCTGGGAGGAGTGAGGAGGAACCGGCCAGGGGGCGTGAAGAGCGAGGTTCTGGGACCGGAGTCTGTACAAGACACGCCCCCATCCTTCACGCCCCTCGGGGCTGCGGAAGTGCTCGGGAGCCGCCGAGAGGCGACCGACTACCGTTCCCAGCAGGCGGTGCGGTGGAGCGCCTACAACTCCCGGCAGTACGCGCGCGCCAGGCGTATTTCAATTCGCGGCCTCTGCGGGTGAAACTACAGTTCCCAGGAGGCCTCGTGCGAAGCGGCTTGGAAGTGGGCAGCCTGGAAGTCACTCGGGCCACCGGAGCTGGCGGCGTCTCCAGCGAGCAGCGCGGGGCCGGACGCCGCGGTCGTGGGGCCCGCAGGGCGCTCAGTGAGGACGCCCAGGTAGGCGGTTCTGGGTGCTTGGAGCGGCCTCGCGAAAGGGGTGGCGGGGAATAGGTGGCTGCTCGGACCCTGAGGGTCAGCGCGGGCAGGCGACAAGGCGGACGGCCGGGTGTGGGCACCGGGTGTGGGGGGCGGCGGCGGCGCCGGGACTCACGCCCTCCGGACTCGGCCGGACTAGTGCCCGCATGGTACAACTTTCCAGACAGGTAACCTGGCTGCTGTGGGGGAAGAGCCCGGAGCTGGGGAGCGGGGGGTTCGCGTCCCGGCTTTGCCGCTTCGGGAGCTGAGATCTGAGAAAACCCGCGCTGAAGCTCAGATTTCCCTTGGCTGAAATGGGGAAGGAGAGTGATGGGCTTTTGCTGGGGATTCTGTTGCGATGTGGAGATTTGGCCGATAGAGAATATGGCATATACGAGGCACGTCTGTTTGCGTTATTGTCGGCTTTCAGAGAAAAGATATCGATTCCATGGGGGTGGCGGTGAGTGTAGCGTATCCGTAGTTCGCTCTCGATGCAGGATAGCTGCCGTGGCCTGAGAGGATTTTCGGAGCTTTGGTTGCGGAGGCAGAGACCGGTTCACATGTACGCTCTGGCGTTCACCAGCTGTGTGGCCCTGCGCACCTGACTTCACTGTGCCTGGGTTTCCTCTCTGTCTTTGTGAAGTGGGACTTTAAAATAGCAGCCACCTGAGAGTGCTTTGAGGCTGTAGTGAGGCTACTCTGTGCAGAGCGCTTAGCGCAGCAACGGGCACCGTAGCACTCTGCAAATGCTACAGTTTATTCAAGCGTTTGTCCATGCTGGACCCCCAAGACCCACTGAGGGTTGGAATGCCCGACTGTAATCTCGGGCTCTCCAAAGGGCCAGACTCAAGAACTGGCCCGGTTGACTTCCCCTCCTGCAGCCTTCGGTTTCTCGTGTAGAAGATGAGATGACCCACCAGCCTCGGGAGATTGTAGGATTTGCAGATGGCGTTCCGGCTCCAGAGCCGTCTTCTCACCATGTAGCAGCCCCCAGCTCCAGGGACAGTAATCGTTCTCCAGTATTCTCCATCTGGCCCAGAGACTGCCTCCCTGTGGGCTGTGACTTGACAGCCCTGTGCTCCCCCACACGCTTGCTCCCAGCCTCAGGGTCCCATCTGTGAAATGGTAGTCATAGGACTTCTCTGCCAGGATCGTTTTTGCTGATTGCAGGAGATAATTTCTTGTTTAGCAGGGAGCGCAGGGCTGACACCTGGTAAGCTCTGTTCAATGCATCTTTGTGTCCTGGGCCCCTTTCTGCTTCCCTTTTGCACCTGTAGGGCAAAATGAGGATGAGGTAAATGGCTCATTCTCCCCCACACCTGCTCTCTATGGGTTACATTGTGGAACATACTGCAGCCTAAGGACTTGGGAACAGGTGATGCGAGTATGCCCATCTCTCGCCTTCCACACCAGATATTCATTCATTCCAGTGCTTTACCGACCTCAACGTCACACTACCCCCTGAGGTCCATCTGTAGACCCCGGGGGGGGGGGGGTCCCCTAATGCTGTGATATGGACACTTTAAACAACACATCCAACCTGTACTTCCCTCTTGTCTGGCCTAATAGTCACCATCATAGCAAATGGGGCAACATTGGTCCCTTTGCTCAGACCGGAAACTTAGAAGTTGGCTCTTCTTCCCCGGCCTTCCCATGTCCGGTTGATTGGCAAGGAGGATGAAACAGCCATTTTCTAGGAACACCACTATGTTGGCCCATAGTTGGCCTCCCTTATGATGGCAGTGAAGACATCACCTCATCTACTTGAGTGGCCTTTTCAGATAAGGTTGATCTCTTTTGTTAAAACCACCAAAGAGTAACATAGGTAAACACCAGCCACATATGTGTTTATCAGAGGCAGAGAAGGCAATACACACAAGGCCACAGATGTGGCCTACAGGCATGGCTTTCAGGGTGCCTGTTTCTGCAGATTGAGCCTGGTAAAGATAGGCTGAGGTGTTAATTTATCTCTGAAAAATTATGTTGTCAACGGGTTCAGATATCCTGCAAGGGAAGGTGGCTATCCCAGGGATTCCAGGGGACAGTGTGTGCACAGCTGAGAAGAGACTGAGATTTTTTTAGGTTTCTGTAGGTTGGATCTGGGTTCAGAAATCTGTCATTGTGATTTCATTTCATGATGGAAACCTGTGGTTTCAAGCAGATTTGCGATGGTCACCAAATGTAAGGTTCTGTTGCAGTGTGTGTATAAAACTATTTTTTAAAAAATATCTGGGTTGGTCTCAATGATTAGTGACAACAGTGCAGGGTTTTTAGCAGTCTGTGGAATAGCCTCAGTTTAATGGGACTCTTTTTGCAGACATTGCAGTTGTTGGTGCTAAACAAAAACAGAATTTAGAATGTGCAATGATTGGCATCCTTTTTGTTGCAAAATATTATTTTGCTGATAAATTTAAAAATAACTTGCAAACTCAATGTATTTATATAGTATCAGAATTTATATAGTAAGTCATTTCCTTTAATGTATGTGTTCTGTTAAATCAGTTTGCATTTGCATTTTCTTTAATTTTTAATACTGTTCTAGTCATGGCCTATATTTCTGTGTATGTATGTGTGTAATTGGGTTGAAGTCAGAAACATGCATACATGGATGCTCTATCGCTCCATAAAAGTAATTTTTAATGGTAAACAGAATTAAAGACAAATTTTAAATGCATGTCCAACAATATAGAGATGTTACGGGAAAATAAGTACCACTTCCACTTCAAAATTGCATGCCTCTAGAGATAACCACTTACTGAGTTAGTATGTACTAAGTACTGTGTACTAGTGCCAAGTTTTAGAGATTTCGGAGTGAGCAAAACTGATCAGGTCTTGGCTGTGGCAGTTTGGGTGGGGGCTTTCCTTGTTCTTCTGTGCTTGTATTGATGTATAAATGCATTTATCTATTATCTTCCTCTTGCACCACTTCCAATTAAAGGAAGAGATCAGGCCGCACGTATTTGTGACCTTTTTTCAATCAACAATTGAACATAACTCGCCAATTGCATATAGCTGCACCCATATTTTTTTTATGGAGAGACCGTCCTATCATCATTTCCCTGGTGCTGGCCATTTACCTTGGTTTAAAGACTTTCTTTTCCCTTTGAAAACAGATCCAGTGCACAACCTGAACGTTAGCTGTGGGGCATGGCGCATAAAAGCAAACTCTGGGAACACATGACTTGCAAGGTTCAAACTCTGAATGCTTCGTACCAGTTGTAATACTTGGGCAAGACATTTGTCCTTCAGTTTCCTGATAAGAACCTGAAAATGTTACCAGTTGCTTCATCATGGAGCAGTTACTGAGAGAGTTCAGTGAGATCATCGGTGTCGAGCATTCAGGGCAGGGCCTGGTTAAGCTGTTACAGGTGTTCCATCAAGCCTACAATCACTCAGACCTCACAGGCACGGGGCTGGAGACACCAGGCAGAAAACGATTCCAAAGCAGGGATCCAACCTGGTGATAGGAGAGGCTTGGACAGAGAGACCCAGCTGCCCTGGAATGAAGGGAGGAAATGGACAAAAGGAGATGGACCAGTGAGGTGTCCTGACCACAGAGTGGTGGTGGTGAAACATCCAGGAGAAATACCACTGCTTGTGTTTGCAAGAAGTATGTGACGATTGGAGGGAGGCTTGGCGGGCAGACAAGTCTGGGTTCATGTTGCAGTACTGGCACTAACTTACAAGGTGTGCCTTGAGCTTTTTGGTTTTGAGCAATATTTATTAGAAAGGAAGAATAATACACAAAGAGAGGGAGAAGGGGATGGGGAGAGAGTTACCTCCCACCACTCTCCAAATGGCAGCAACAGCCAGGGGTTGGACCAAGCTAAAGCCAGGAGACAAGAACCTCATCCAAGTCTCCTTGAGTGTTAGAAACCCAAGTGCCTGTAGACTGCGGCCTTCCCAGGTGCATTAGCAAGGAGCTGGATCCAAAGTGGAATGGCCAGGACTTGAGCCAGCACTCCTTTAAGGGATGCAGGTGTTGCAAGCAGTGGATTAACTTGCTGTGCCACATCAACTCCAGTTTTTTTTCCCCCCCTTGATAAAATGGAGCTGTTAGTGCTCCTTCCCTCAGTGGTTGCTGGAGGCTGAATCATACATGCACAGGACTTCTCTGTGCATGGGGTTATTGTGGTTTGCTGCAGTTCCTATTAGTCATTGTGACTGAATTGACAAACTTAAGACCTACCTTTACTGGGGATTTGGCAGTGAACAAGCTGGTCCAGACCCTTGTTCTCCATGGGGTTACTTTCTAGTTGAGGGAGACACACACTAGCCAAGATTATTCTGATTATTTTTTTTTTAAAGAAACAGTCCTAACCTGCCACTTTCTGATGATTTTAAGTATGATGGAGAAAATACAGGGTAAGAGGAGAGAACGTGGCTGCTGGAGCAGGATGGTGGTGGGGAAGAGGTGGTTACTTTCCGCTCGGTTGGGTAGAAAAGGCCATCTGAGAAGGGAGCCCTATGAGCCAAGACCTGATGGAGCTGGAGGCAGCAGCTGGGCCAAGGGAGGAACATTCCAGGCAAAGAGGACAGCAAGTGTCAGAGCCCAGAGCCTGCAAAGAGCTTCACAAAAACAGTATCATAGTGGGGCCCAACACAATGGCTCAGTAGCTAAGTCATTGCCTTGCAAGTTGCCAGGATTCTGTACGGGTGCCAGTTTGCATACCCACTGCTCCACTTATCAGCCAGCTCCAGTTCTCTCCTAAGTCAGGTCCTTAACTGTAGCCTCAACCCAGGTCCCCACTACTTGGCGGCTGTGACACACAAGACTCCTGTTCTCTGAGTGCTGTACCAAACCAAGGGAAATCTTTTTCTAGGAAGGGCAGGAAGAGAGGCATATGTCCTCTTCCACTCTGAGGAGCCAGGCGATGCCCCCAGTGCACTCCACGGCTCCAGGCGGTCTGGGTCAGCATCCGAGAGGCTGTCATGGTAACAGGATCCTCGAGGCTGAGCCGAATATTGCCCTGTATGACAGT